TCGAAAGACATTATAACGGCAGATGGGCTACTAAACGCCCCGGGCCAAAGCAATGCCATTCAGAGAATGAAGAAAACATGGAAGCCTCATACGACACCGCCACTGAAGATGATCTACTCGGCAAGTCTGAGGATAACGAACAAATCCCTCTGTACCAAATGCCTAGCAGAACATGCCCAGAATCCCTACAATATAGGGCGAGGGCCAAAATAAGAGCAGACGAGGATTTCAAAAATGAGATAAAGCAAATCCTTAACAACGCGGAGCAAGAAACAGTAAAGGCGATCATGTGCTTCTATGAACGTGAAATCGGTCGTTTTAATACCGAAATAAAGAAAAGAAAACGAGCCAAAACGGCTGGAACACTGAACACTAAGAACTGTAGTACGATCGAATCAGCGCGCGTGGCGCAAGCTGAAAGCAATCAAGACAACTTAACGATCGAGACAGTCAAAAAAATAGCTGTACATCTACAAAGGCGAACGATTCGAAAAAGACGCAATCCCTGATGTGCGTACTCAGTGCCACACATAAAGCAAATTCTCATGAAAAACTGGCATTTAATAGAAACACAACCACTACTGAGCGAACTATACAAAAATCCGCCGCTCGTATCTTACAAAAGAGGGCGGTCGCTCAAAGACATACTCGTGAGGGCTAAACTTTGAATAGGCTACTCTAAACACACGCTTGGGAGTCGTGTAGGCCTGTCAACCCCATTTTACGCCACCATCTTCCTCTTCGCTACTGGAGACAACTTCGCTTCGTTCAGAAGAAGATTCACTTGACAAAACTTCAATATCTGCCATCTCCTTCGCCCACGAATACAAACAAACAGTGAGTGAAATAAACCACGCTATCGGAGTGAACACAACCAGTGACGTCATCAATCCATTTCGCTCGGTACCAGGGCCCGGACATGGTTTTGTGTAAAATTTTTGATTTGAACGGTTAAAAAAGATATCTTTCGCTTCTTTTTGGCCAAAGCAAATTATCTCATGATGATCAGCATATTCAAAACTACAGGTTAGAGCAAATATTTCAGTTACGAGAATTTCGTTTCAGTAGCACTTTAAAAACACAAAGCAACTTGAACAAACAGACAATATATTTTTTGTAACTCGTATTCATAATATAAGGGTCATTGTACCACTAAACACCAGGCTCCGATTGTTATTCATAGATAGAGTTCCAATTAATCAAACTTCAACTTCCACTAAGGTAAGTCTCGTTCAGTTTTCTAATTGTAGACTAATAATATGCGTTCTGCTACGTCCAACACAAATGTTACATACTCTTGGGAACGAGCCATGTTGACTAGATTATAAGGTAACGCAAGATTTTTTTTTCTGTATGCAGTAACGCTGTAATTGTGTATTGAAATAATCAGCAGCTTGAAAGTTCATTTGATGCTTGATTTACTGATAGATAATGACGGATTCACAGAACCCAGTTAAAGAAAAAAACCAGCCCGATCAGAAATTTAAGCTGTGGCAAGAGGAAAAAACCTCTTTGAACGTCCGGTTCGTTTTACTACCTTGTGCGGTAGCGATTTTGGCTGCTGTGGTTGGTGTACTGATTACCATTTCCGTGAAACAAAACGAGGCAATCAAATCCATCGAAGCAACTGGAGTGAGAATTGTCAGTGCTTTAGTCAACGTTACACGGGGTGAGGAAATATGTTTGAGCTCTGATACAAATTTCAGAGGTTTCTTTCCGTTGTTCTTGTTGGATTAATTCTGATCTCATTGCTCTTTATTCTTAGCAGACAGCTTATTCTACTCGTGCAAAGAGATTTTTGAGAATCAAAAGTAAGTCATCGCTTTGATTGGACTTGTTGACGATCACAGTTAAGGTCAACGGTTTATTCAAGATTAAGGCGAAATTTGTCAGGCAAGAATTCAGAGCTTTCGCCTTTCTTTCAGGCAAGGTTCCGTGCCAAACAAAACTGTTATATTCGACCTTTTGATTTCAATACTTAGTCAGGCGTGTAGAGGTATCATGTACACTGTTTCGTCTGTAAGGCATATTGCTCATATTCTCCCACAGCCACTTAATTCTAACTACTAGTTTCACCCAAACATACTAAGAAATTGTCAGTCGATATGATAACAAACTACTTGCATTTCTACATTGTATTATACGTCAGTGTTCACGTCAAGCATCGGCTTTAACGGCACATTTTACATTGACTTCAATTACTACGTAATCTAAACTAATATCAGGTGAGCAAGGCGATCATGCATCTCTTATTAGGGTACCTCGATCGACATTCGACCGAAGGGCGACCGACATGTCGATCGACTGTCGACCGAGAGTCGACCGCTGGTCTAGCAAAACAGATAATCGACATTTCGACGTCATTTCACCGACACTTGATCGACGTTCTGTCGTTAGCCGCCGATATCAGAGCGTGAACATGAACCCGTTTATTTCTGGTCAACCGTATTCTCAATGTGACAATACACGATCCTTACCTTACAAACCAGCATGTTACTGATTAGTCTACCAATAACGTGAAAATATTTGGAGAAAATACACTGCTTTCCCCCTATTTTTTATCAGGTCAAAAGAGAATAAAGCTTACGTTCTCCTATCAACCTTACGGAATATCCCAGTTTATTGCCATATGACGGATGACCTCGAGGCATGCGGGGGTGGTGGATGGACGCTAGTCATGAAAATCGATGGTAACAAGGTATACATATATTTTTTTTGTTGATGTTGCTTTTAACTGATCAATACAGTCCATGGTTTGAACTTTTAGAAACAGTTTATAGTGTTTGTAGTGTATGGTTATCCGAAAGTGGTCCTGAAAAGGGAATGCATTGGTGACAGAAGCTGACACTTCAATTACCTCAGCGGTGACCCTTATCAGAGTCACCTGACACTGATGAGAAACTCCTTTCAGGATGCTACTAAGTGGCCGAGTGTGGTTGGGACACCCACAGGCAGCCCAAGCTCACTACTAGAAAAGCGGACGTGACTATTATCGTGTTGCACAACATTTTATATTTATAAAGGTTTGTATGGGATGTTATCGGTGTTCAACACCAACATAGCGCTAACTCGCCGAAAACGCTTCAAAATGGCCTGAGACGCTAGTAATCAACAAAGAAAACAACAAGGCAATAAGGTAAGCCCATTTTATTTCAAAACAAGGCATTTTTTTCTCTCTTTTAAGGCAAACCCATAACATCCCATACAAACCTTTATAAATATAAAACGTTGCGCAACACGGTAAGAGTCACGTCCGCTTTTCTTGTAGTGAGCTTGGGCTGCCTGTGGGACACCGGGCTTAAAACTGATAACAGCAAATTGGCCGATCAGATTGCGACATTAATGCTAATTGTGGTAAAAATGGATATAGCCAACTGGTCGTCCTCCTACAGGTTGGAATTATTTTAAATATTATTATAATGTTTGTTTACAGTATTCATTTTTGGTTTGTTTGTATTTGCACTGAAAAGCCCCATTGAGGGAGTGACCAATTGATTTTAGTATAATTATTATCGTTATCACTACTTAGTGTTAAGGACTACTTTCGTTGCGAGATGGCGCAGCTCACTGGCGTCGCGACTTGAATCATCATGACGCGTAAAGGAATGTTTACCTTGTTCAGTTTCTGTTGTCTGAGTTTTCTTTTTCCTCCTTTAGGCAGTAGATTTAATTTTACGACTTTTAATTTTTTTCGAATTAGTCTACCTTCCACTATGACACGGCATTCTGGAAAAACACTGCTGGCTTCAACCTTCTCGGGGGAAGGACTGGATTTGATCATACTGAGACTAAGTTAGCAACTTACTGGAGCACACCCTTCTCAAAGATCTGTCTCGGCATGAAGATCGACAAGCAGTTAAATTTCACTCTCGTCAAATTTAAAACATACTCCAGTTCACTACACTCACTGATCGCTACTGACGGATACACCACCACATCTCTTGGCGTAGATAAATGGAAAAACCTGGTGGGTTCTCACCCCTTTTTACCTGTCAATAACGTACTAGAGGGGTTGAATTTACAAAGGCTTGAAAGTTCCATCGATAACGTTGACCCAATATTCTGTTCTACCACTTGGGAACTTACTTATCGGGCAAGAATTGACTTCATCGGCACTTTTCACCAGTATTTCTTTAAAATAGGCTTTGGGACTGGACTTCCATCTCCAAATGAAGACCTTAGCACGTGTGGAATCGAAACAGGAGGAGGTTAAGGAGTAGATAAGAAAAAAGTATTAAAGCTTTCGGATACATTCTAGTGCGGTGACAAGGGAACTAACCTGAGTCTACGAGTTGAAAAGTAAACAATGTCTACTTACAGTGTTTCCTGTAGAAGTTGACTAAAAGCGTGAGTCGATTTACGCAGACACAATTACACTACGAATCGTTGGCGCCGTCATGAAAGTGCCACTGCATTTAAAATCAATGTATCCTAAGTTATATGTCTGTGCAGTAAGTCAGGGAATGAATATATTTTAGCGCTGCTTAGTCCACATGATAATCAGTAATCATTGAATTTCCGATTTCGGCAATATGATATGAGACGAGATGAAAATTTTCTTCACAGTAGTGATTACATACGTTTCGAAACTGCATTAAATCAAAATACCAGTACCTATTGCCATAGTGCCTTCATAGGGGCGAATCTAGAAATTTTTAATGTTGGGGAGGGGTTCCTAACTTAGATTCGAAAATCAAGAGAGTATATCGGGCTTCTCCGATGTGAAGTATAGCGATCATTTCGTTACTGGACGTTTGGTTTCAGACAAGCTGAACATTAAAAAGAAAAAAGACTTCAATTAAGGTTCTGATGAGAAGGGGGGAGGGGCCGGGGGGGTTTCGGAAGCCTCCTTTCGACTTGCCCCCTCGATGAGGGTTTTAATGGGGTTAACCGTTATCGGCCGTTAAAAGGCAAAAAAAATTAGTCTTCAGGCGTACAAACTGACAAATTTTAGCCATGAGTCGTGAAACATTTTTTTAACTGTAAGCCTTACAGTTAACCGTTTTTTTACGACTCACGGCCAAAATTTGTCAGTTTGTACGCCTGAAGACTAAATATTCTTGCTTTTTCTTTTAATTATATCGGCCGCAAAGAAACTAGCCATTAGCCGTAAAAAAACCGACATTTTAACCGTTAGACGTAAAAGCTAGAACAACATTGAAACCCTCCAGGATCAGCCACTGATCCACAACTTTAAAATGCAGTTTATCTCAGGAGAGAACTAAGTTTTTTTTGCCGAGCCTGTATTATAGCTCTTTGGAAGTGTTATTTAGGATGATAGGCAGTTGCATACAGCGCTGTTATTTGTTCGTTTTTCTCTCAATTGATTGTAGTTGTTATCACGAGGAGGCGGTGAGGACAAAAAGTAAGCATAAACATAGAAATGTGAGTGACCAATTGGAACTCTTGGTTTCAAATTTGCATTCTGATCCGATGAAAGAGTAACGCATTTAGAGCACATAAGAATAAAGTCATTGCAACTCCGAATGGCTTTCGAGACCTAACTGCAAATTCCTCTGTAAACAGAGTGCTATGGTTAGATACATTATGTTCGAAAACTTGAGCATTATGCTTATGAGCTCTCCCCTCGAAACAACAGCACTTTGCTTAAAGGAGCACTCTTATGAAACCTCCCTGTAATTTGAAAACCCGAAAAATTCCGTTATTTCATTATGATATAAATTTTTAGCGATTAATAAAGTCTTTTCAATAATAATTTTAGCTGAAAGTCAATTCTTGGGCGAGAAATTACGAAAACCGTCCCGCCATTAATTTTCGAAATCAAGGCCAACTTATCTTCGGTCAGCGGTCACTCCTACTGTGACGTAGATAACTCAAAACAATGTTGGCGTCATTTTATATTTATAGGGAAACCTCGTGAAATTTAGTGAAATAGCTTTAGTTTTAGTGTTATAAAAGCAATATATACGATCAAAATACTGTTTTGAATATGGAAGACCACTCTCTTGCGCGTCAAATGAGTCATCTACGTCACGCTCAAAATTCGCCCCAGTCTTCTTGAGTCTGGCAATTGACCACATAAACTAATGGCGGGTCAAAGGAAAATCGTGAATTTGACAATCTTCCCGTGTGACAGTTCGGAAAAAAAAATTCAGTGACGATTAACTAGTCAACATTTCAAGTTTTTATGTTAAAATATTTGAATTTTTCGGGTTTCCAAGTTACAGGGAAGTTTCATAAGAGTGCTCCTTTAAAATTATGCTCGAGAATTAGCATTACGCCCAACTGATCCTACTTATATTTGATGTTCTTTTCCATTCCCACAGACCAAAAAAAAGCCTTCTTAATTAAGAAACAACATTTTATTGCATCGATTACAACTTTACTGTAGCAGTAAACAATAAATGGACGTAAACGCACTCAAAATGTCTTATTGCAATGGAACTCCCCATCGTTAGGTAACCATAACAACTAGCAATCCCTCTTAGCTATAAGCTATTAGCATAATAATGGAACGGTGTAGCCAGGCCTTGAAAATAAAAGCCACGCCTTTAAATATGTCACATCTTTACTGAGAGCACCCGAACGTGAAAATTTCTCTTTGCGGTCAGAGAAGTATTTTTCTCTTTATGCTGAAAAAATGCTTATTATATCGGCATTGCAGTCCGACAATAGCGTTATGCCCAAAATAATGCCGGCATAATGTATCCAGCCCTAACTCTAAAACTCCACTGGTCTGATTTTCTTCTTAGCCCTTTTCGCAGAGTAGTGGTATCCTTTCCAGTGAAACCAGTTGACTCCATTAGCATACGATGAGTGCCGCCCATGATGATAGAAACCGTTGAGGTTTGAGCTGTGACAGGCTAAGTACCACCAGGCTCCTCTATATTCCTTAGCACAGTTCCCTTCGTAGCTGTCATTGTCCTGATCCTTGGTTGTAAAGGGATAGCCACGATGTTGAGTAAGGGAGTCCCTAGCAGTTCCTCTAATAAAGTAAAAATTTGAAATTAGTTGTTGAGAGATATTCAAAAGACTTAAATTCGACCATATACTCAAGAAGAAAAGACACAAATTCCCGTTACCATCAGTCGAGAGTACTTCGTTACAGTTTTGGAAAGTAAATACTAAATCCGAGTCATCACAGACAATGTCGATGAAGTTCGCCACAATGCATTCGCAGCATTTGAATTTGCACCAGAAACATATGAGTGATCCAAAATCTTCTGAGTCTTTCTAAGAATTCATTTTATTTTCCTCAAAGAATTTACGTGAATATGCCTTAACTCTCAACTGTTACTTCTCGCTCGCGTTCGCTACTGCAAACATGCAGTACTCAGCCTAAGCAGTCATGCTGTCAAAATCTTCTAGATCGACCCGAAGATTGCTCGGGGACTTTGTCAGGCGGAATTTTTTGTCTAGTCTGAGCCAGAATTCGTCTTCAAGGTTACCGAAGCCCTTCTTGTAGTCAGATCAGTTGCAGTGGAAATCAACAGTGCCATCTAGCCTCTTTTGGAGCACTGTTCATCCCCCACCGGCAGTCTTTTGGTCGCAAAACACTTTAAAATCAGGTCCAGCACCATCTGGGTTGATTTTATGAACACCACTGATTGCTTTACCAGATTTGTACAGCACGGTACAGTTCTCATGCTCTGACAATGAAAAAAATAAATAAAACAAAAACCTTAAAAAATAAAAGAAAACAACAATAATAGTAACGAAATAACGACCTGGTACTTCGAGGAACTCTGGCACTGGGGATAGATCACGTCATAGACTACGAGTAGTCCCTCTTTCCGGCGAAATACGTCGCTCGATGATGTTAGCGCGCCGAAAAGGAGGGACTGCTGCTCATAGTCTATTCGTTGATAAATTCGAGACTTCAACATCCCCCCCCCCCTCTTCCCTCTTCTGGCAATCCCCTGTTAATTTGGACCTTTGAATAATGATCATTTCAAATATTCCCCCCTCAGGACCAAAATTGTGTTCTAATACCCTACCCCACTGCCGGATTTGATGATAAATGTTTTGGCAAAACCTTAAACCTAGACCTCGCAGACATTTTCTTCTGACCCAGCCGCTAATTCGCTCGCGAACCTGACCTTCCACGGCCGAGCGGTTACAGTTGCACAGTTGGGATCTAGGTTCTAGATTACTCTTTACCTTCTATTCTAAACACCTCCATATCAAAAGATAAAACATGTGTGCCTCAATCGCCCCCTCCCCCGACGGCGTAGACGACAATAAAATGCTTATGGCTTGGCTGGTTAAAGCTTCGACCTGCCCATTTTAACACAGGCGAGATATCCGCCAATTTTAGCTAAGGTCACGCGAAGCACGTTGCAACATTACCCTCGAACTTCGGAAAACATTCGCTTTCGAGAAACTGTTTGCTTCCCTGAACAGATATGCCTACGGACACATATCTGAACATGTTTTTTCCCCAAATCGAGTGGAATTCGATTCTATCGAATAAAAATACATTCCATCTGAGTAACTGCATACCGACCCATAGCTATTTACGTTCATTTCGAATTTCAACGTCATAATTAAAACTGAACCCTATTGTGACGCTTACTGCAGTTTACTTTGCTGATGGAACATGGCCACTGTAGAGAGTTTCTAAGCTGACGTTTCGATCGTTATACCTTCGTTCCAGCGAATCTCTGTCTGTTTGTCTGTCCGTTTGTCTTCAACAGGCCTATATGAAGATTTTCCAAGGTGAAGAACTACCGCAACCAAAGTCTATGTTGCTGGTAAGTTTTCTGCTAGTGAATAGCGAGTTATTGGCAAGTGACTCTGACACAGGAGAGAGATATGAATTCTAGTCTATCTATGGATCGTTTTTGCGTTTCTTCCAGGCTACGGCTGAAGCTAACAACCTTGCAGCTCTTGCAAGCTCGAAAGACTCTTACTCAAAACAGATGGAACAAGTGAGTTGAAATACTTGAAACTNGTCTATGTTGCTGGTAAGTTTTCTGCTAGTGAATAGCGAGTTATTGGCAAGTGACTCTGACACAGGAGAGAGATATGAATTCTAGTCTATCTATGGATCGTTTTTGCGTTTCTTCCAGGCTACGGCTGAAGCTAACAACCTTGCAGCTCTTGCAAGCTCGAAAGACTCTTACTCAAAACAGATGGAACAAGTGAGTTGAAATACGTGATAGAAAATTAAATTTATGCCCCATTATGTTGGGTTTGATAATAGGTCGACTCTACCGAAGTAAGTTTAGTGGAGACCATGGCCCAGTCTTTTTTTTTTTTTTTTTACTTGTCACTTTTTTCCCCTTCTTCTTCCCCTTCTTCGGCGGGCTAATGTGGCTCAAACTATGAGCCTGCATGAAGGTTGCAATCAAGCGTATTTGCCGCAAGTGAGTTTTGGAAAGAGCACTGTTGCTGCTGAGTTAAAACGCAGCATTTCAAATGCACGAGGTGATGTTTTAACGGGGGATGACTAAGTCAAACATATTGACCAGTGCTGTCACAAATGCAAACAGAGACAAAGGTAGAAGGTTTCCAATATATTCCTGCGTTTTTTTTGTTTGTTTGTTTATTAGTATTATTTCTTCTTAGCTGTGTGGCGGCGACACACCGTACTTAGCGCCGCATAAATTAGAAAAGAAACACCAGCAAGCCATGGAAACCTCGTTGGCGATGTCACACGGCACTCGGAAGATGGGAGGCAGGGAATTTAGCCAGGAATACGCCAAGAGACTTAAGAAGGAGATCGGTGAAGCATTTGAGAACTTTGTTAAACTTAATGACGGCAAAAACATCTTTAATGCTGCCCGCACTCCGGCCGTCTTCTTTACGCTAGTGGTTCTGGAATACTTTCTCTCAAGTGTGTTCGGTTCGATTGCATTGGTGGCGTTTGTGCGCATGTGCAATCTGGTGATATGGTCCGGTCTGTTAGCTATTGTCGTGTGGTCTTACATTCGATTCAGTGGGGAGTTCAGAGAATATGGAGCCAAGCTGGATCACGTGGCAGAAGTTATTTGGGACGAGGTAAGGAAACATGCTTTAATATACTGGAAATCGAGTAGGAACTAGGCGCATGTTCAGAGTTGTTAACAGGAGCCGGTAGCCAGCCAAAAACGCTGGCTAGTCTGCCATCTTTAGCTGGCGAATGTCACCTGTTTTGCCATAAGTGCTAACTAAGTATGGTGCATTGGTGAGATTGTCTTACTAGGTTACACACTTAATAAAAGGTTAAGCGAGTGTTGTGATAACTAATGCGAAGTGAAATCTGCTAAACGGAGTGCAAGGCTTAAGATATATAGCTTATGTGGTGGATTATATAATAACTTTTTCACTTTCAAGTTATAACGTGAACTTCTTTCTTGCGACGTTCCTTGTAAATTTGTTGAAAGAAGTGACGCTTTATCGAGACACTTCCCTCTCACGGACAAGTCTGTCTCATATCCTGGCGTGTTTGCGAGGAAAAGTGTTGACAGTGTAAGTAGAAGAAGAAGATACACGGAAATAGCTTCTCTCAGTTAAATGGTTAACCGTTTTTTCATTATTATTGTTTACTTCTCAGGCATTTATGCCGGCATACAATGCTGCATTTCAACGTGGTGTGCAAGCAGTGATGGCGTCTCAGCCACAATCATCCAGGAAAACTAATTGATGAAAAAACAAAACTACGAGTTAAAGTCGAATTTAAAAGAAGTTCAACTCGCGGGAAGTTCAACGGCTCTTACAGACTATGCTCTCGCAACTACTTTAAGTAAATGCGTCCGAAAAATTAATTGTGAATAAGTCAATCGCCGATTGCGAAGAACTTGGAGATATTTTGGTAATTGCCACAAAGTGGAGGTTAGATGCGGTTTCCAGTTAGGTGTGGAAACATTAACAAAATAATCTTTTAATTTTTACTTCACCCTTGTAAATGAACTCAGAATTTGTTGAATTCATTTGCGCTCGAGCTGAACTGCGACTGAACTGGGTTGGAGACCAAGTCACGTACTTTCGTTTGTCTATTTGTTTGTTTTAATTAACTCTTGAAGTAATTTTGGCAAGTAATTGAAAACCGCTTGTTAGGAAAAGGGTACAAGAGGCAACATAAAAGGCTGGCAAGCCATCATTTTTTCAGTAACTGTTGCTGAGTTTCGTGAACAGAAAAAAAAAAAAAAAAAAAAGAAGGGGAGTTGCCTCGCGAATAGAGCCAGTTTGAAAAATACAAAGCAGAATGTGAGTTCCTTGAGACGAAACCGATCTCATCTAACAAGGTTGTACAGAATTTTTTTGGCTAAATCTTATGCACACCCGTATTGGTATTGTGAAGTTTCTTTGTATGCCGAATTTTTTGTTTGTTTTATTTTTATTGTGAACTCATTTATTGATTTGTCTTTTCTTTATCTTTTGTTTGCCCCTAAAGTCTTTCTATGTTCAATGGTATGTTTTTAATTTCGCCAATGTTTAGCGTTTACTGCATTGGAAAATTAACGGAAGAACGGTACCCTCGCTCCGTTTTTACATGCCTAAGGCAAATTAACTCACAAAGCCAAAGCATTCGCAGCACTTAACTCTACAAAATGTTTCCAAATTTTCGGCCAAGAGTACTGAGTTTACGTGTGCTGATAGCGTGAGCTGTCTAACCGATAGATTTTGTGACGATTTCCTGTGTTTCCTTTGTTTTTCGTTGACCATTGTAAGCTTTGAAAAAACTTTTCTCCTTGTGATAATGAAGGCTATACACTTTAAAAGGTTAATTTTTTTGTTTTCATTCTTATAGACTGAATAGAAAAACATTGCTGTAACAAATTCCTTTGGAAGAATTACATGGAAATATGTCAGACAGGAATGGGTGAATTTGGAGTGATAATACTATTTACGGAAGTCATCAGCGGTAGCTGTGCAATTTTTGCGCGGAGGCATTTAGGCATGCCCTCGATTATTCCATTAACATGTAAAAAAATATTGAAATGCATTATAGTTTTAATTTGAAAACCACCAGATTCCATGACCACCTGCACATAAATTAAGAACGCAGAAATGAAACCTATTTTAAATTTGAGCGTAAAAAAAAAAAAAAACCGGTTCCTTTCATTATTTTGCCCTGTTAAATTAAACCTGAAAAATGTTGATGAATTGTTTTAATGGCGATTGAAATCATTTTGATCTCACCGCTTACCTTGACGATATCGTTATTGACACTTCTGAACGATGTAAACACTCGTTGAGGATGTTTTGCACAGGACGAAACTCTGGGATTTCATTAATTTCCTCTCAAAGATGATTATATCAATTTGGTCTCCAACTCAAGGATCATTTTCAATTTATCAAATTACACCGTCTCATTGAATACCGCAGAGTCGTATTCACGAGGCAGAATTTAGATATAACGAAAGGACGTTTGCCAGGATGGAAAACCCAAAAAAAAACAAAAGCAAAAAACCTTTTTTATTCGGTTAATTCAGTGATATCTTGTTCAATACGCTTTCTACTGAGTACTTTCAAGATCTTTCATACTAAGTGTTTCTTTTTTTTTTGCTTTGTTTTGTTTTCTTTTGTTTTTTAGGGGATGGGGTTTCTTCTCAACGATGTAAACAAGGTTACAGTCGCTAAGCCAAAAATTTGCATACAGTTCAGTACAATATCATTGTGTAACCCGCATACTTATTGTTTGATAGGTGGTGTCTGGGAGTGTAGTATTCTTTGGAAACACTCATGGTCCATTTCGTGTTTTGAAAACCTCCTTTTTCTATTATGAGGAGAAAGGTATATTTATTTTAGCTTAACCAGTGGTAAAGACATACAAGGTCGACAAAAGAAAGCAAAGAAGCAAGAGAGAAGGGAAAAACAACACTCCTATTCTTGAGAGATTGCGCTCGTGCGATTCAGTAACACTGTATACGTTTGGAATAGACCTCTTGAGGATAAGTGGTTGTTTGCTACTATCAAAATCTCATTTTCACTGGTTACCAGATCGGTCGATAATTAGGTGCTAAAGACGGACCATGACATCCTACAGGTGTGTAAACCGGTGGAGGCGAATTTAAAACAGGAGAAACCATGTGATGGATTTGCATCCCATCCAGGGTGAAGGGAGAGTACTAGAGTACAAATATTCCGTCGCTTAGGCTGTATGGGCTACTGGCCTGACGTAGACTTTTTTTTAATTCTAATACGTGCATCTCCATGAAGAGTGCCGGTAAGTGTTTTTTTTTTGGGGGGAGGGGACCCTCAGAGAAAGATTTCGTATTAAATTATTTAATCAAGTTCTGAATTTACCATCAGTTTTTAATAATCGATATTCTTATTTATTTATTAATTTACTTTAATTTTTTTAAAATTTATTATTTTTCGGTCATTCCGGGTATTCCAGATATTACGAAGTATTCCGAGTATTCCAGTTCCGGTTCCAAATTCCGGCATTCCTTAATTTCCAAACTACCCCTTCTGACAGATTTCGGAGGATGCTTTCCACATACCTGATCGTCAAGTATGATAGTAGTGTTTGGTTGTTCTACGGATTATGGTTTTTGAACGGTCGTAATTCGATTTTGTAGAAATTTTACAAAATGGTTTGGTGGGGCTCTTAGTTTTCGTAATCACGAATACTAAGAAGTGTCTTAGTTTTCCAAATTACGAATACTAAGACCCCTAAATTTACCGTTAAATTTGACCTAAAACTCGGTGGAAAGGATCAGACAGGAGCTAATTTGACAGATTAGATCTGTTTTGGTTACAATTTGATTTTATATTTCAACGAATTCGATTTTAGGGGTCTTAGTTTTCGTAATCTCGAAAACTAAGACGGGTCTTAGGTCTTAGGTCCTAGTTTTCGAGGGTCTTAGTTTTCGTAACACCCGTTTCGTTTAACATTATTGAAATCACCACACAAACCAGGATAGTGCCCAAAACTCCTAGAACAGCTGACGAAGTTTCAAAGACGAGGCGTGCTATTTCCAATGCAGATGGTTCGGAGTAATATTTCACTGGAATAAGAGCTGAAGATATTGGATTTATGGTCGGGCTATTCAAGGAATTTTCTGACGAAGCCATAATAGAACCGCGAGATCCTCGATATCCAGTAACTGACGTGAATAGGGCCTTCAAATGGTATCCTACTGCTTAAGAACTGAATCGTGCATCACCGTAAATTTCGAAAAGTGACGTGTATTTATGACTTGAGATCCGTAACTCGCCCCCTGAAATCTTATTGGATGTCTGCTTTCTAGATAATTGTTTTGATTGTTTAGGGGTGCCAAATAAATCATCCTAAGGACAGCTGGCAAACACACCGTCGAGATCTCTTGAAGTTATAACACCTTGTTGCTTCATGGTCAATGGTTCCTGAAGAGCATTGTTCTCTAAAATAACAAGATTATTCCTTAGCCGTTTTCGGTGAGTTAATTTTTCTTTTTGTTTAGGCACTGGGAATATAAATTCTGTTGCCTGTTACTGTCGGATGAGAACCTTGCTTTCTGTTTTCGCCGGTTACTTTCAGTTAAAGACGCATAATTTTTTTAGCACGCCAGTAAACCAAACGTCAGACATTTCGGTGTTCTAGTGCCAAGAAGGGTTACATACATGCTCCACTTGTCTTAAGTGGAGTGAAAGTGATTCGCTTGTATGGCTTAGTTGACATTTAACTTTTGTCTCTTCGCTGTTACACACGGCTTCAGTACATCTTAATCTGGTAGAGCTAAAAGCTGTTTTACATTTTCCTCTTCACGAAGGGATTAGGTCAACGAGATTAAGCTGCAATTCGCGCCTTAGTTGATATAACAGATTAAAATCAAACAAAAGGGATATATGATTATCAAAAGCAAATCCAATTAGAGGGATCTTGTTGTACTTAGAGTGTCCCATTAACGGCACAATTCGTTTGGAGTCGTTACAATTTAACGAGAACTAAACTGTGAATTGTATATACTTAAACGATATGAAAGGACCGTAGCCGACCTTGTCCAGGAATGTCTAGGGATGTCTACGACCATCTCTGCAAAAAGTCATTGTTATCTCGACCAACAGACGGCCATGAGTTGTCTTGACAATCCATCTCATTTCTTCGGTCAGAGACGATTAATTGGACACCCCACTGATCAAATAGCATAAGTTTATGAATCGTTCATAATTGTTTATTTTACTGACAAAAAAGCACTTTTTCTATTTAAATGTTCTTTGAAGCAGGTGTGTTGGCGTAATTATAATTGGGTGCTTTCACCACATAACATATCATTAAGGAGTTTGAGGGACTCGCCCAGTCGCCCACGCTCCGGCAATCAAACCTTTTCTGTGACAGCCTGGTTCCTAGCGTCCTCGCTCCTGATGCGTCGTCAAGGTCTTGGCGCTAACCCGATTGGTCGGCAAAATCCGAGCGAACGCAAGAATATGGTCTGTCACTGATTTTGCCATCTTGAATAACAATGCTCTACATGAATTCCGTTGTAAGCTTGTCTGAAGTTGGTGAACAACATCCCCTCATTTATAACTGCAATCGAGTCACATTTTGATAGCCTCAAAAGATGTGTGTCTCTCCATCATTTGGGATCGTTTGTTATTTTTATCCGAAAGAGAGGGGAAGGGGGAAAAAGTGTGGAGGATTTTGGTAGTGTCACAATAAAATCTACTTGATCCCTTTCTAAGGCTCGTTAAGCTCTTATGTTCTCCCTCCTTTCACCCAGAAAACCATGTGACTCCCCACCCTCCCCTCCCCCTAAAAAAGTGCTCAACCCTTGCCTTTAGCGAATGATAATGACTGATTCATTAAAATAATGTGTCTTACCACTGTCTCCTCCATTCTATCTCACGGTACTACAGTGGGTGACTCGTATCCACGTTTCGTCCAACAATTAGATTGGTCAACCGATAGAATAGAATTTGAAGTTATTCAAATCATGTTCCAATCTTGACCTTTCAGTGTCAATATATTTATCCG